CAATACAGGTGTTTATTGTGCTATTTAAAGAAAACAAGTAGTTAATGCAAACCTAAACAAATTGAGACAAAAATTAAACTAAGCTTTAAAAAAAATACACACACACACACACACACACAAGAAGAACTATAATAAATTTATGTAGCGAGGAAAAAGCAGACAGAGAGCAGCACAAAATGTACAAAAAGCGTGAAAAAACTATGATTGGAATGTAAAAATTTGGCAATTTGGCATATGAAAATTTTGAATACTTTAAGAGATCATACACACATCTAGATATACATATAGAGTTATATATACATGATATATGCGATGATAGTGCACTGTATAGCTGGACGTCTGCAAGGCGATGCATAGGTCACAGGGACCACAACATTTAAATAAATATAAATATTGAATTGAATTGACTTGGAAGGTTTTGTCATCTGAAACAATTCAATTGAGATCAAATAAACTAGTTAAATATGTTAAAGAATAAATGGAAATTGCACTGTTGTACGACGATTTTGAATGGGGCACCTGATTAAGATTATGAAACTCTATTAGCAACATAAGCAAAGCGTGTTATAAGGCAAACAAGACTTTATGCATTAACCATATATATAAATGTATACATATATATACATGCAGTCACTATAGATCAACCATATATATAGTATAATATAGTATAATTTCAATTTCTAGTTTTGTTTTCCACTCATCTTCAATGTTGTTAATGTTTGATGTGCATTAGGTATTTGTGTTAAAGATAATTGTATGTGGTTCCATTTGCAATTTGTTGTCCAGAAGATAATCAATCATTAATGAGCACAAACTAAGACATAAATACGTACAGATTCAATTATAAAAATAATGTTTTAAAAATTGACAAACATAAGCTATGATTGGGTACCAGAAAAAGGCGTTTAAAAGTTTATAAAACCTTCAAAACGCTGTCTTAAAAACAATGCAAAAAAAAAAAAAAAAAATAAATAAATAAATAAATAGATAAATAAAAAAAAAATTATGAGAAATGAATATTTTACAAATTAAGTGATATGCAAGTAGTTAAGTTATATATATGTACAAGGCGCTCCAGATCGATATTATACATAAATATATATACATATAGTTATCATCAATGTATTTCTGTTAAAAAAAATTACTAGTAACAATGTTGATGGAACATAAAAAATAACAAAAGAGAGCAGCTAATAATAAAAGGAAAATATAAAACCAAAAAAAAAAATATTTATAATATATTGTATACATACTATATAAACAAGTTTTATCCGTGCACTGAATATGAAAGGTTTTGACAAATTGATTGTGGCATAAACATTTACCTACAAATTAAGTCGATGTTTTAAACAAAATGAAAAGTAGCGATCTTTTAAATAAAACAAACAAAAAACCTTTTTGGCAACTGAACATTTACAAAGTTTTCATAATTCTCATTATTTGTTTTATTGCAACCGTTTTGTTTATAGAGTAATTTAGAATTTAGAATTTAGTATTTCTCTTTTGCTTTCTTTACAAATTACAAACTAATCAAATGCATTTATGGTACAACATCTACAAATCTCTTTGCAGCATTGGCATTCAGTTTACATGCCATTGTAGGCGGGGCCGCCACCACCTTCGGGCACTACCCAATTGATATTCTGTTTGGGATCCTTGATATCACAGGTTTTGCAGTGAATGCAATTTTGTGCATTGATTTGTAGCTTCATATTGCCGCCCTCCTCGTTGGGCACATATTCGTATACGCCGGCGGGGCAGAAACGTTGCTCGGGTCCCTCGTAAATGGCCAAATTGTGATCGACGGGTATGCGATCGTCCTTCAATGTTAAATGGGGTGGCTGATCGCCCTCGTGATTGGTGCCTGTGAGCGCCACCGATGAGAGCAAATCAAACGAGATTTTGCCATCGGGCTTGGGATATACAATGCGTGGACTAATATTTGCGGGCTGCAGTGATTCGTGATCCTGAGGGCCATGCTTTAGCGTCCAGGGCTCGCGACCGCCCATGAATATGGAGAAACCACTGAGCACAAGGCCGCCATAAAGACCCAGAGGATTGTGGAAGGACGGATGCACATTGCGCACCTTGTACAAATCTTTCCAGACAAACGATTCCTTGATCCTACAAAAGGTAAATGCATATTAGATTTTCGATTAGCTATAAGTTTAAGGTCCTCCTAGCTTACTTGTCTGCATAAGTTACGGGCTCCACACCAGCTGTCGTCTGTGTGCCCTCATTGATAGCCTCTAATGCGCTTTCAGCGGCCAGCATGCCGCTCTTCATGGCGTAGTGCGAGCCCTTGATACGTGGCACATTCAGGAAGCCCGCGCTGCAGCCGACCAAGCAGCCACCGGGGAAGGATAGCTTCTTGGGCAAACTTTGAAAACCACCCTCGTTGATGGCACGTGCGCCATAGCCAATGCGTGTGGCGTTCTCGAACACATGACGCACCTTGGGATGCGTCTTAAAGCGTTGGAACTCCTGGAACGGACTAATCCAAGGATTCCTATAGTTAAGGCCAACCACAAAGCCAACGGCAATAGTGGGCGTGGGTTCATTTAGATGGTACAGAAATGAGCCACCATATGTAAACCGATCCAAAGGCCAGCCAATTGAGTGCTCCACTAAACCCGGTCTATAAATAAAATAAGTTCCAATTGTGCTCTAGCATATCCTTGCTTGATAACTCACTGATGGCGCTCGGGCGAAATTTCCCACACTTCTTTGAGTCCAATGCCGTAGGTTTGTGGCTCGCTGCCTGCGTTGAGGCCGAACTTTTGCATAATCTGCTTGGAAAGATGGCCGCGACAGCCCTCGGCAAAGATTGTGGTCTTCGCATGTAGCTCCATGCCACGCGCAAAGGTTTCTTTGGGTGCGCCATTCTTGGCAATGCCCACATCATTCGTGGCAATGCCTTTGACGCTGCCGTCCTCATGGAAGAGCACCTCAGAAGCTGCACAGCCTGGATAGATCTCAACGCCTAGTGCCTCCGCCTGATCCGCGAGCCATTTGACCAAATGTCCTAGACGTACAACATAATTGCCATGGTTGTCCATGGGCCAGCCCTTGAAGATGGGTATGGGTATGCGGCCCGTTTCCGTAAGGAACGAGAACGTATCCTTTGAAACGGGTGTGTTCAGTGGAGCACCCTGCTCCTTCCAGTCGGGGATGAGCTCGTTCAAAGAGATCGGATCGATGACAGCGCCGGAAAGTATATGACCACCGGCCTCAGCGGCTTTTTCCACTACGCAAACGCGGATTTCCTGTCGAGCAAGAATAAAATTTTTATTATCGTTCGATCTGGACGGCTATGACATAAGCAGCTCACCTGATCTTTTTCAGCAGCCAGCTGCTTGGCCCGTATGGCTGCCGACATGCCGGCTGGTCCGCCACCCACGATGACAATATCTACCTCTTCGACACAACGCTCCATGTCCACGTCCTTCCATCTCTCGTCCTTCTCCCGCGGATTCAAAGTGTAGTGCGTGGTGATCTTCGGATATTTCGCTGCCTCTGAAACGCTGCGCACAAAGGCGGGCGTAAAGAGCTTGTGAACTGGGCGTGGTTATAGAGGAAAATGCATTTATAATTACTGAAGCGCATAAGCTGATAAGAAATCAATTCGATTTCCAATACGAACTCCAATCAGAAGAGAGTCTGAACATTTAGCAGAGTTGGCAAATGTTCATATTATATAAACTGCCTACGTTTTTATGATTATTTGATGAATTTCATATTCTAGAATCTCATCAGCATTAATCTTATGTAATCACCAAATTGTATGGTCTTGTTGTTGCCTTTATAAATTAACAGTTTTTTCTTAAACTCACCTCGATGCATTTTCAACAGAGCCGACATTATCGCCTTTATAGCCTGCAGCGTATTAATCTAATTGCAATATCTACAATATACATATAKAGAGTATATTATTTATTTATATATTTCAGTATAGATAGCAAACAAAAACAAATACAAGCGCCGCGTCCACCGCCTCCGCCAACAAAGCAACAAGTTGGACTTTAGACTTGCCTGCCAATTGCTGTGGCTGCTACAAATTCAATCATTTAATTGAATATTTTATTTTGCTTGCAACTTACTTGAATTGTTCCTCACCGTTGAGATTTCGTTGTGTTAATAAATGGTCTATGCAGATTGAATAGGCAAATCAAACAAACGCGAGACTTGGGTTGGTGCCGACAGAAGCCAACCGCAACATTCAGCTGTTCAAACTAGAGCTGAGTGCGTGTTGCGATTGTGCACGATATCGCAACTGCTGTAGTTAATTACCGCTGAAACAAAAATCATATACACTAAATTATGATTTGTCCTATATATATAACTTAAAATTATTTTTAGCTGGTCATTATTATTATATTTGCTTTTTTAATATATATAATTTTGAATTCCTTTTATAAATATGCATTGCTATACACTTTCATCTGGTTGCAGACAGCTGGCACGCGTTCATCTCTAGCTAACAACTTGTTGCTTCGGCGTTGCCACATCGCGCATAGCTAAAACAGTTGTAGCGCGCAACTGAGTTTACATTGTTGACGCCACTGCACAACAGATGGCGCCAGCAGCAAAGCTATTAATTTAAATTACATTTTCGTTAAGGTCAATGCCTAATTTAAGGCCTTTAAGATGTCAAAAAATAACTAATAGTTAGCGAATGGTCTTTATTTAAAAGATTGTTCACAACATTTGCATGCATTTTAGGGAATTACATTTAACACTTTAAAATTTCGATATTAGATTTAATATTATGCCATTGTAGTGTCTCTGTGTATTCATATGTGACCTTTGACCTTTGCTTTGATTTGAATATCTATATTTTATGTATGGTTTATCGCTTGACAAAATTTATTGAGCAGAGCAAAGATTTAATGAATTTTTAATCCAGCCCTATTAAAAATTCAAAGTACAGTTTTGTTTTTTTTACTATTGCAACATTTATAGGATGTATTTATATATTTGTATCATCGTTTTCAGTTGTGTTTGGCCAATTTTAAATATTTACAGCGTGATTTAAGTGTGTGAGAATTTATGGTTCATAGAATTGCTCCTCCGATTCGGTTTGTTCGCCGCTTTTCAATTGCTGCTGATCATGAGTTGACCTCTGAGCGTGACCCTGACCCTGTTGACCTTGCTGCTGCTGCTTATTGAACAGCATYGACATGGCCTTATCCACGGGATTAGTCTCCTCAGTGCCCTGCTGCTTGCCATCCAATTTATTTAGCTGCTTAGACTCCGAAGAACTAGCTAGTCCACCTTCCGTTCCAGTTCCGGCTCCAGTTCCTGCTCCGGATCTATTTACGCTCTTGCCGAAGCGCATGAAGTTCGAATCCATTTTGCCAAAACGCTCGAAATCACTGGGCGCCGCACGTCCGAAGCGCATGAAATTATCCGGCCGACCGAAACGCATGAAATCCTGTTTGGGACTGCGTAGCTCCTCATGGAAATTCATATTTCTGCCGAAGCGCATGAAGTTATCGGAGCGTCCGAATCTCATGAAATCCTGACCGGGATCACGTCCGAAGCGCATGAAATCGGAAGGAGAGCGACCGAAGCGCATAAAATCGGAAGGAGAGCGACCAAAGCGCATGAAATCCTGCTTCGGATCACGGCCATAGCGATCCATGCCAGAACGCTTGGCAGCTTCGTAGTAGCCCGGTCCCGTCGCCTGAGGCAGTTGCTCCGGCTGCCGCTTGCCGAAACGCATAAAATTATCCTGCATAGACTTGCGCTTCATATCGTATTCCGGATCGTACTTGAAGTTGGGTTTGTGGGCGGGTTTCTGGAAGCGTAGCACTACGGAGTTCTTATTATAATCAATGCCAATGGCCGAGATGGGATAGCGAAACTCCAGCTCAGTTTGGTCCAGTTTATCGCTGGCTAAGCCATCCAAAATATCAGATTCCACTGCCTTGGGATTAACTTCCTCCGATTCCAACAGCGAGTTCTCTATATAGCTGGGCGTTTCGATGATCTCGCTGTGTATGGCCGATTGCATCTGGTAGAGGGCCAGCAGAAACATCAAGGCAATGCCCATGACTAAGAGGAGCTGCAGAGAGTGAGAGAGAGAGAGAGGGGTAGAGAGTGGAGGTGAGTGGGAGGTAAAGGTAGCATATAACATAATTATAAGATGTTGACTTAAATCACTTGCTACATTATCTATTACAAGTTTTAATCACATTAACGCCCTCGCCTAGGTCACATTCATTTTACTTAACAAGTACAACAACAACAACAACAACAACTCGGACTTCTTGTTGCTGTTGTTGTTGTACAACAAGTTGTTTTAGCTACTCCGGTAGCCGGCAGCTGCTTAACGCCTTTTGTTTGCCTTGGCCATGGGCCGGACGAAAGTGTCCCGCTAATTAACCATAACAATATTTATGCGATAATCCATCCGCCATGCCAAGAGCGAAATATGAATGTGCGCGTAAAAAGTTAACCAAGCGCATTAAAAGGCAACAACAACAGCAGCAACAATACCTGCAACAGCTACAATAGCAACATGAGTCTATACACACTCCCACACACACACGTAGTTACATAGACACATAGACACACATTAAGAGCCATAATCCAACTTGTTAAAGGCGCTAAGCAGGCGCAGCGTGCAGAAGGAGCAGGAAGTGGCGGGCGAGCAGGAGAAAGTGGGAGGAAGACCAGCAGCAGCGGGGAGAGGAGCAGAGATAAAGGCAGCAGAAACAAAGCAGAAAGAGGAGTAGGAGTAGGAGAAGGAATGAGAGTAGAAGGGGTATTCACAGCTTCGGCAGCATCATCAGCAACTGGAGAGAGTTGATGTATGAACATTTCGCTCTTCGTCAGCAGCGAAATAGCCCATTAGTGATGCAAATGATTATGGGTTTTGGATGCGGCCACAGATGAAGGCGTCAAATGGCCAAAGTGAAGCGCGCTGTCCACGCACTGCAGCTGCAGGAACTGCTGAGTCAGTAAATTAGCGTACTGCTGAGAATTATGAAAAACTTGGCCGAGTACAAAGGCCAGACACAACTGAGAACTTTGTAGAGCCACGAGTTCCGCGAAGTCTCTAATGTACATTCTATATATAGGTTGAGCAAGAATTGATAATGCAGCACGGAAATATAGGAAACTTTTAATCCAGAGTAAAGATTTTACAGAATTTTGAGCTTAGAGCCAGAATTTGCTTTAAGCAACAACAAATTAATTAATGATTTGGTCTTTATTTAGAGGCATATTGGTTTTTAATTAAAAGACATGGGCAACGTGTGGGAATAAAATACGTTTAGTACTTTAACAGAAGCCAAGAGAAAAAAAAAAAACTTATAGCTGCATTTTAAGCTTGATTTTTACAATTTTTACATTGTCTTTCTGTTTTTATTTCCTTATATGAATCAAGAAAGCATTTACAAGAATTAATTCTATCAATCACAACAATGAGATTTCGATATGAAGAACTATAAATAGATTTCTTATAAATACTCCTCTCGGAAGGTCACTGAGAAGTAATGCTCGTGATAACCTCTAGTCTAGCTGATGAAAACTTGATTCACTCTATAAGCCTCACACTCTTTTGCGCAGATCGGAGATAAATCTATTCTCGGCAAATGCATATTTATTTAAATATATATTTTTAATCAGATAAAAAACCCTGAAAATGTTGTTGCTACATATAAGAGTTCGGAAATCGTATAGACACTCGGACAGACAGTTTATAACTGAGTTAAAACTTTTGCTTCGTGTTTCACTTGACATTAATATGCGCGATGTTGGTCAACTTATCGCTCAATTTAAAAATTGACTAGGCCATCTGAAAAGAAACCGTTAAAAAACTTGTTCAGACTACGCCGTAGACACCAGCAGCAAAGGCAGCAACAACAGCGACAACAGCAACAACAACAAGTTGACCCTAAGCTGCGCTGAGCTGGCAAATGCTGCACATTAACATACATTTTACGTACTCCACATTAATGTTACATTTCACAAAAGTTTTTTGCAAAAGGAAAAATTACGACTAAATCATGTTAAGATGAAGATTAAATACCCTAACTGACAAATTGTTGCTAGGCAACTAAATTTAACTGGGTAAATTAAGTTTTGAATGAAGTTTATAATTGTTGCAGCGAGTTTAGACAGATTTGGAATAGGCTTTGATATCATTTTGTATCTTCTAAAAGAAAGGCTGCAAGAAGCCCTTGTCCGTGAGTGAAACGAAATAGTAGCAAGTCATCTGGCCGTCACCTTCTAGTAGCTTTAGCTTCAGAAGGCTATAGTCAAGGCATAAGCTGAGCATTGCGCACTAAACTCTATTGTTTGTATATTTTACAGATATTTTCTATAGTTTTAACATAATTAAAATTTGATCCAAATCGACTTTATGGTTTTCTTAACAGGTTACAGTTCGAGTGCCCTATGTGGCAGTAATCTAATATTGCCTAAATTTATAGCCACAAACACACTTTTGTCAGGGGTTGTGTTGCTATGACAGCTGCATGATATAGTAGTCAAAGTTTTAAAGGAAATTGTTCTAGAGGTTGTTTATGCTGGGGTTGGTTAAGCTAACTAAGTGTTAGGGAACACTTTCTAATTAGAAACAGAACTTTCTGTGCCTGGTTTGCAAGGCAGCTATATGATATAATAATCTTATATTATAGAGCAGAAGAGAAAGTTCCAAGATCAAATATGAAATGCAAGCGGACGACTTCAACGATACAGCAGGCGTTTAATAAATTATTATATTACATTTATTTTTACTTTTCTATTTATAAATTATTAAAATATAATCTTTATTTCTTAATAAAGCATATATTTTATGCCAAATTGCAAATAGCCTGAACAAGTGTATAAAAGTACGAAAATTTAATGCTTTATTGCTGTTGTTGCTGCTGTTGTTGTTGTTGTGTCTGCTGTTGCTGCTGCTGTTTGTATTGCAAGCGCAATCAGACGCAATTCATTTGGGGCAATAAGTGACAAATGGCAAGCGGTGCTTAGGCCCCGTCAGCAGCCCCTTACGCTCGGCCTGCGCTCTTCCTATGTGGCCCTAACGCATTCGCGGTTATTTGTATTCGAATGCCGCAAAGTGTTGCTTGCAACATGCGTCCGCTGTCGAATCGAGGCACTCGAAGCGAAGCGCAGACAAACTGTCATCGGATTTATGACGAATGATGCACTCGACATGCATGTTGCAACAGCATTTAGCAGCAGCAACAGTGGCAGCTGCAACTGAATTGATACGATGAAGAAGAAGATGCATCATAAATTTTCGCAACTTTTCGGCACCTTTATTATTTCACACCCATCCCGCATCACACATACGTCGCGTGGCTCAACACATGTATCAAATATCAATACAGACACACACACACACACACTTACACTCGTTAATTCGTTTAGCTGTCATATGAAAGTTGAAACTTTGCATGTTTCGCTTTCATTTTCTCTTCTTATCTCTTTGTCTGATTTTGATTTCTAATCAGATTTTCATAACTGAGCAATGCGATACATTTGAAGTGTCTTCGGCTTGTAGCTAAATTTAAATACGTAATTTATCAGGTATGTAGGCAGCCAGCTCAGCGTTGACACGTAAAAAGACAAATGATGGCCCCGTGTGGCACTCAGATATTTGCAACATTTTTAGCTCCCAGCTGTAGCTCCTGTGAACTGCTCCCATTGTCAACGATAAATCAAAAATGTTTGCACGCATCGCAGCTAGTTCTTGAGCTGCACATATCATAAGCCCGGCAAAAGGCTAAGCATTTCCCTCCTCTGCTTGATAGTGTGAGGAAAAGGTAAAAAAAAACCACAGAGCTGAGCTGCGCTGGCAAATGGAAATGAAAATCTAGCGACGCTTTGCTGCGGCTGCTGCTCTCCGAAGTGCAGCCGTAAACATTTCAATTTGCTTTCATTAAGTCCAACATGAAAGACACGTGTATGTGTGTGGCAACTACTGCTATATGCCGCCTGCCATCTACCACCTGGATGCTAACTCTAACTGTATTTATGTAGTGTAGCACGTGCTTTGGGTTCACTTGCCTTTTGGCGTGCAGCCTAACAAAACTGAAATTTGATATTTTCGTAAACCCTTTTCAATATATTTGCCAGAAATAGCATTCCAAAAGACTTTAACTCTTAGTGTTATGAAAATAATAATAAAACTAGCTTTAAGTTTTCTCTTCACGTTTTTCTTTCTTTTTTTTAATAGAGTAGAATCAAAGTAAAATCAAAGTGTTTTCAGCTATATTTTTAATTACTTCTTTATTTAAATAAATAAATAAAAAAAAAAAGTATAAAGCATTAAAAAATTGTACAAAATTAATATAACAGTTAAAATATATATATTTTTATATAGTATTCAAAATCATCAGATACAGAATCAAATCTTTATCAATTTTTAAAACATCACACAAAACTAACTTCTCTCTAGTTTCTACGCTTTCTACTATGAGGGCGAATTCGCAGCGAAACTGTTTTTGAGAATTGCATTTAACGAAGCTTAATTTAAAATATAATCAAAAGACTTGAACATTAATGCTTAAAACTTTTGTTTGTTTATCTTAGTTAAGATTTAATGTTATATAAGAATTTTATAACAAGAAACAACAAAACATCAAACATGCTGTGCGTCATCTCTAGCTCGTAAGCCTCATCTGGCTATTAAACTAGGTGTTCTGAAGCAACTTGTACAGACTACATTTAACGTATACAACTTTTATGAATAGATATTGTATAATATTAGAGAAGTTTTATGGATTTCTTTCAATTTATTTATTTGAAAGCTGGTTGCCTTCATGGATATTATCTGTGGATATATGTACATATTTATATGTACTTTAAATTCTATAACATGAACTCTTTTCTAAAGGTTTCTAAACTAATTTGAAATATCAGAAACAATTGTAGAGAATTTCTAACATTTATCAACTATTTTGGTATATATTTAAAAAAAAAAATAAATAAAAAATAAATACCTTTTATCAACTGTTTGATGCATGATCTAAAACTATATAAAATATAAACCAAATAAGGCAAAACTATAGAACAAAGAAACATAACTGATGTCTGTTATATTTTTTTGTAATCTCAAGCTCTGTCATTAAATTATGAATTATCAAAACGACTCACAGTTCTTTTACAATAATATCGAATTGTATAAAGTTTACGGTTGCTCTGCATAGATTTTGAGACAAATTCAAGTTAGACTTTCTTAACGGTAACAATCAACGTCCTTTCACTGCCACACTCAGCGTACGATATATTTAGAGGTCAAGAACTCACCTTTCTTTCCGAATAGGGGATATCAAGTTAAGCGATAATTGCTGGGCAATTAAATGGACATTCCTTTTGAAGAAATACCAATTCGAAGCACTTTTTATCACGGACCACTCGCAGCAACTGGCTCTTGTTCCACTGTGTGTGCGGCGCTTTCTTGGGGCAGGACACTTGTTGACCGTGACAAAGTGAAACAGTTCTGTGCAGATGTTTGGCGAAACATCCGGTTTTATATAGAACCTGTCCACGAACGGCCGACAACAAACAAACGACAGACGACGGACGACAAACGACAGCCGACAGCCGATGTTGAGGATAATGTGCGGGCGGCCTGGCCACCCAAAGCCTCTGAGTGCTGCTGCTGCTGCTGCTGTGTGTGTGGGTGGTGTGTTGAAGCAACAAGTGTTGCCAGCAACATGTTGACTGCAGTTAAATTCAATGTGTGTGTGTGTGTGTGTGTGTGTGGGCAGCTCACTCTCGCTGATTCTACTTATTTATTTAATTATAGCTCAACTGCAGGATATGAGTGGGGCTTGCAGTTGATCTGATTTTGCTGATTTAATGATTAAGCAGCCAAACCTCTGCTTGTTGCTGCGAGTGCCTGCTGAAGCAACAAGTGTTGCCAGCAACATGTTGAGTGAAGCAAGAGTTGCTAAGGGTATTCCTGTCTCCCTCTCTCACTTCACACTTTATTCAATTACAGTTAAAGAGCAAGCTATGAGCATACGTCAGCCTTGCGCTTGCCTTTTTCTTTCTTTATTTATTTATTTA